ACACTTATCGTTTTCCCAGGAGTTAACCCCAACCCTAACTCTAGGGTTAAGCTTAGGGTTAGAGTAAGGGTTAGCTTGGGGTGACTTGCAAAATGAATATTTTTTTGGCTACACAAGTTTAAAACATCTTTCCTTGAACGTCTACAACGATACTAATCTTTTCCCTTTTGTTTCAGATTCTCAACGCTTATGGTTTTTCCAGGAGTTAACCCCAACCCTAACCCTAGGGTTAAGCTTAGGGTTAGGGTTAGGGTTAGCTTGGGGTGACTTCAAAATAAATATTTTTTAGTCTACACCAGTTTTAAAGATTTTTCCCTGAACGTCTACGACGATACTAATCTTTTGCATTTGGTTTCAGGTTCTAAACGCTTATCGTTTTCCCAGGAGTTAACCCCAACCCTAACCCTAGGGTTAAGCTTAGGGTTAGGGTTAGGGTTAGCTTGGGGTGACTTCCAAAGTAAATATTTTTTTGTCTACACCAGTTTTAAAGATTTTTCCCTGAACGTCTACGACGGTACTAATCTTTTGCATTTGGTTTCAGATTCTCAAGGCTTATCGTTTTTGCAGGAGTTAACCTTAACCCTAACCCTTGAGTTAGGCTTAGGGTTAGGGTTAGGGTTACCTTAGGGTCACTTCTAGAATAAATATTTTTTGTCTACACCAGTTTTAAAGATTTTTCCTGAACGTCTACGACGATACTAATCTTTTCCATTTGGTTTCAGGTTCTGAACGCTTATCGTTTTCCCAGGAGTTAACCCTTACCTTTTCCCAGGGTGACTTCCCTAAATTTTTTTCTCTTCACGAGTTTTAAAGATTTTTCCCTGAACGTCTACGACGATACTAATGTTTTGCATTTGGTTTCAGGTTCTGAACGCTTATCGTTTTCCCAGGAGTTAACCCCAACTCTAACCCTTGGGTTAAGCTTAGGGTTAGGGTTAGGGTTAGCTTAGGGTGACTTTTAAAATAAATATTTTTTTGTCTACACCAGTTTTAAAGATTTTTCCCTTAACGTCTACGACGATACTAATCTTTTGCATTTGGTTTCAGGTTCTGAACGCTTATCGTTTTCCCAGGAGTTAACCCCAACCCTAACCCTAGGGTTAAGCTTAGGGTTAGGGTTAGGGTTAGCTTGGGGTGACTTTCAAAATAAATATTTTTCTGTCAACACCAGTTTTAGAGATTTTTCCCTCAACGTCTACGACGATACTAATGTTTTGCATTTGGTTTCAGGTTCTAAACGTTTATCGTTTTTGCAGGAGTTAACCCCAACCCTAACCCTAGGGTTAAGCTTAGGGTTAGGTTTAGGGTAAGCTTGGGGTCACTTTCAGGATAAAAATTTTATCGTCTTCACAAGTTTAAAACATCTTTCCCTGAACGTCTACGACGATACTAATCTTTTCCATTTGGTTTCAGGTTCTGAACGCTTCTCGTTTTTCCAGGAGTTAACCCAACCGTAACCCTAGGGTTAGGGTTAGGGTTAGCTTGGGGTGACTTCCAAAATAAATATTTTTTTGTCTACACCAGTTTTAAAGAGTTTTCTCTGAACGTCTGCGACGATACTAATCTTTTCCATTTCGTTTCAGATTCTCAACGCTTCTCGTTTTCCCAGGAGTTAACCCCAACCCTAACCCTAGGGTTAAGCTTAGGGTTAGGGTTAGGGTTAGCTTGGGGTCACTTCTAGAATAAATGTTTTTTTGTCTACACCAGTTTTAAAGAGTTTTCCCTCAACGTCTACGACGATACTAATCTTTTGCATTTGGTTTCAGATTCTGAACGCTTATCGTTTTCCTAGGAGGTTTTCCCCAACCCTAGGGTTAAGCTTAGGGGTTAGGGTTAGGGGTCACCTTAGAATAAATGGTGACTTTTCTAAAATAAATTTTTTTTTTTTTTGTCTTCACGAGTTTTAAAGATTTTTCCCTGAACGTCTACGACGAGACTAATGTTTTGCATTTGGTTTCAGGTTCTAAACGCTTATCGTTTTCCCAGGAGTTAACCCCAACCCTAACCCTAGGGTTAAGCTTAGGGTTAGAGTTAGGGTTAGCTTGGAATGACTTCCAAAATAAATATTTTTTTGTCTACACAAGTTTAAAACATCTTTCCCTGAACGTCTACGACGATACTAATCTTTTCCATTTGGTTTCAGATTCTCAATTCTTATCGTTTTTGCAGGAGTTAACCCCAACCCTAACCCTAGGGTTAAGCTTAGGGCTAGGGTTAGGGTTAGCTTGGGGTCACTTCTAAAATAAATATTTTTTTGTCTACACCAGTTTTAAAGATTTTTCCCTGAACGTCTACGACGATACTAATCTTTGGCATTTGGTTTCAGATTCTCAACGCTTATCGTTTTCCCAGGAGCAACCTCCCCTGTAATTATATCCCAGTAGTAGTCAGAGCCAATCAACATGTCTCTATTGTTTTGGCTGTCCATGTTACCTTAAACGCAGTTTGCTAAGTCTAAATCTAGCAAATGAGGGTGTTCAAGGAGTTAAACCTTGGCGGGTACAGGTGAACAGATAGCCTCAAAACTCAATGCAGAAATGTTTACATCCTCACCATGTTTTCCTTGTAAACGTAACTTGATCAGATCACAATCCTTTTTTGAAAATTTATCATTGCCAAATGTGTTCAAATTCAGTGTTTCAGTCTTTATGGGTATCATACCTAGTTTCCTCTTCAAATGATTTGTAATGTAAGATCTTTGGCTTCCGCTGTCAAGTAATACGCGAACAGGTAATAACTTGGTACTATTCTCAACATAAGCACATGTTTTAGTTGTTTGCAAAAGTACCTGCACCTTACTTCTTGCTGTGGATGTTGTTGTGATGTTCTGAGGAGGTTTCTTACTTGCACTAGGCTCTCTATCTTCCTTAGTTTTAGCATTGGTTGGTGCAGCTGGTGTTTCAGATCTTGACTGATTAGAACTCATTTCACAAACTGACTGATGATGATCTGTCCTGTCACAGACCCTACACTTTTTCTTCCGGGGACACTGGTTTGCACGATGTCCCACTGACAAACACCGAAAACAACGTTTATCCCTTATCAAAATGTTCTTTCGTGTCTGAATTTCCTTTCTGAATTTCGTTTCTGAATAATGTTCACCATTACAAAATGCACAACGAATTCCTGATCCATCACCTGACCTTGCAAACAGTGAGTTAGCAGTTCCTGGGGAAAATCCTCTCTTGGGTGTAAAAGTCCCTTTCCTTTCTTGTATCTTCATGGTGTCACTCATTTCTCTAGCCTCAACTTCTGCCTGGATCACTTTCAACAGCTCATTTATCTCCCACACATCCTTGGTAGAAACTCTAACAACATGTAACCTTACTTCAGCTGGCAATCTTGACATGATCACTGGTATGAGAAAACTACCATCTTGCTCTGCTTTCACTCCTAGAGACTCTAAACCACGCACATTAATCTTGATTTTGTCATAAATAATTCGTAGCTGACCAGGTTTATCCCATGTACTAGTTGGCAACTTGAGAAGCTCATCCATATGAGCTGAAATGATTTGTTGCGTTTTACCAGAACGCTCTTGTAAAATATCAACTGCAGCCTGATAGTTAGTTTCTGACAATGTAAGACCTTGAATAGCTCGGGCAGTCTGACCTTCTAACAACGCATGAAGGTAATTAAACTTGTCAACGGAGGAAAGGTCAGCATTCTTATTTACAGCACTGTCAAAACTATCCCAAAATGACTTAAACTTTGTTATCTCACCGTTAAACTTTGGTAACACTAGCTTTGGTAGACGTGGCTTGGTTGTAGACTGACTATGACTTGATTGAGAAGGCGGAATTAGAGGAAGTTCATTTACGGAACTCGATGATGAAGGTCCGCCATCTTGACTTGTTGTGAAATTAGTTTGAAATGCAGTACTCGGTGATGATCCGGATTAACCCTGATGAATTTGAACTGAATTTTCTGATGAGGCATGTTGGTTATCTTGTAATGGCATAGAAGCTTGATTTGGGTTATTGGTGGCTGTATGTTCCTCCGTATGATGATTTTGTGTCGAACCATGTGAAGACGAAGAAGTCCCTCCATTTTTTACCCGAGCACGTGCGATGGCGATTTCCCCCTTTGTCTGTTGAATCCTGAAACGGATTTCAACCGCTACCTCAATTTCCTCTTCGATATGATCAACTGAACATATTTTTGTAATCTCCTCGTCAAATCCCGCAAGTAAAATTAGTTTTTCTTCCAATATTTGCTCAACAACTTTCACACGGCTCCACATGATATCTTCTAAATCGGTGTGTTCGAGAATAGTTCTCGCTTCGTTTATGTTTTTTGTTACGACGGTTCGATGTCCTTCACGTTTTGCCCGCAGCGATCCAACTTTTCCTTTCCTTCTCCCATGATTACAAATGAAAGCGACTCAAACGAATGCAACACTCTGCCCCGGGTTGTGCGCCATGTTATGAACAGAAAAACTGGTTGATTCATTGTCTTATAACATGTGATTATACGCGCGCGTTATCCTCGCGTGTACCGGTATAAAATGATTACAACAGTTGTTGCTGTCGGAAAACTTGGGTTGTTGAGCCATTAACATATTAGTTTTTATTTGCCTTGAAAATAACCTGTAGAAAGTATAAATAGCAACGAACACCTAGAGGTTTTCTTTCTAAGATACAAATTTCTTACTGCTGGTGAAGGAAAAATGTCGTCTACAGAAATTAAGAGGATCACCTTTCTTCCACAAAAGAAATCTGATCAATGGCTTACACCAAGTGCTAGAAAAACAAATAGTTATCGTACACAGCCTAAAACAGATGAAGGACATGATGCAACCTTAGATCAAGAAACGAATAAGACTTTTATTAATTTATCAGCTAAGACAAACAATGATAATCGTGTGTCTATATAGACCTCTGTTAGATCATCCAAAACACAAAAACATTCGGCGGTTTCCACAGTGCAGTCAAAAAGTAATTTTATTCCCAAGTCACGGTAATAATAATATAATTGTAAGCTTCAATTTTATTTCAGTCTCAAGGACTTCTGTTTTGTCTGCCATCTTTAAAAATGGTAGGAAGATGGAACTTGTTAAGTTCACTTAATAGAAAATCATGTGTCAAGCCACGTGACAACTCATAAAATCGCAAGCACCGTCCCGAACTGTTTCTTGACCTAACTGACGTCATAGACTCTTTATTTAAGCTTGGTAAGGCGGGCGATGCATGGAAGGATATTGGGGTTGCCGGTTTAGGAGGCGGTGGATGGTCAGTAAAACTGCCCCGAAGTAAATTCCCTTTTTCATCTAAGAACTTCTTCTTGATAATGTTCTGGTTTTGGTTATATTCATCCAGCGCTACTGGCGAGTCCTGTTTGTTTAAATTGTTCACCGCACGAAAAAAGTTGAGTTTCTTTTCTACCAATGGCTTCAATTTACGATGACTTAGTGGCGGCACACTTTGCGGCTTGGAAATATGCGGTTTAAAATTCGTCTTTCCTTGGTCGTTTTTTAGCATAAATGGTTCCTTGAGCTCGACTGGTTTGCTAGATATCTGAGGAAGATTGCCAGTCTCACAGTTATATGGAGTTCCTTCGTTCAACTGACGAAGAGGTGTTCCAGCTCTCCAAGTTAACTCCATTATTCCAAACTGACTCTTTCCTTCTAATTGTTTACCTACATGAATACGAAAAAAAAAAAAAGAAAAAACAGCGACAGTATGCTACGACACTGAGCGCTAAGACCCATAAGTAGAGCTTCATTGATAGTTCAAATTTTGATAAAATTGGCCAAGAGCTATTAGACTTGTGGGTCCATAACAGCGATAAATCTCGTGTATAAGCAAAGCATCATCATTATTTTCATCTCATCCCTGCCTTTCAATGCCTCAGAGAATTGAAGCAGTTCATTGAAATGACGTCGATGATCTTTGTGGATTCAACAAGTGTCTGATCAGTAGCAGAATAAGCCAACTCGCTCGTTGTTAAGAGGACCCTCCATTACATCAGTGATTTCGGCTGCTCATGGTCAAAGTTAACCTGTTCGGTCTTTAAGTCAAAGCTTACAGCTGAGTCCTACTTCCAGCAGTAAGCTAGGGCTAAGGCCCCGAAAGCGTGCAAGTCGATCAAAGAGAGTCCCCAAACATGAAGGAAAATGGCGTGCCCAGGGTAAAATACATCTTGGTCGCAGTTTTACAGAGAGCAAGAGAGGATGAGAGACTAGAGAATGAGAGTCTATCGCAGGCAACGCCTGAGGAGGGTTTTCGGTACTTATACATTTTCGGAGCTTATTTAAACATAATTTTCAAGAGATATTTTCAATTTTACCTGTGTGAGTTGACAGCCTATGGGGAAGTGACGTCACTACAAAATCTTTTGCTTTCCGTTTTGAAGACTGGAGCCGAGAATCACTCAGTGCCCTTGTTCTGATTAACGTAGAATCAAGCAGCCGCTGACCACGAGTCCCTGGACCCACGCAACATTGCAGTGATGGCTGGAGGAATATCGGTGGAAATTCTGGCTCGCTTCTCTGATGAAATCATTACGTTAAATTAGTTTGTGATCTAAAAACACAGTGGGTAAAATTGAAGACTTGAGATATATGGGATAGAAATAAAACTGAAAAATTAAGAAATTCCCACGGTCTATCTAAAGAAGAAGAATCGATTTGGTTACATGTCGTTATTTTTTCAAGGGGAGGGGGAACTACATAACCGTATGACTACCTAACTAAATCTTATTTTGAATTATTCGCGAGTTTCAAGTGGTGGAAAAAACGAGAAAGTAGACTAATCTTTAAACTAAGACAGGACCAGGGGATGTTGCTTTACTTTTTCCCTGACGAAGATTTATTTTTCTTCCGAAATATTGGGTAAAGTAAGATATGTCTTGTTTTCTAAATCCTTGACGTTTAGATGAGTTTCAGAATGTAAGTGACCGTGGCCAATCAATCATGGTACAAATCCTGTTCCAATATAAAAGGTCATGAACAGTGGTTCAAAGCCCCGGTTTTCCCTGACTGAAACACCCTGGCTCTTTTAAGATATGATCCTTACCCTACTAGCAGAGTTTTCTTCGTCTTGCCCGATTTTGGCTTAATCGCGAAAGACTCTGCCTGAATCAAGTGAGGTCTTTGTTAGCCATTCGCTACATTAGGATACAGTTTCGAACCCAGGTTTAATAAAAGTGCGCTTGGCAAAGCGGGCTCAGTTATGACCATCGGTTTATCAATAAAGGGATGCTCAAACTCGAAAATCCAGTTTGACAAGAGAAAAAAAGATTGACTAGTTCAGAATTTAGGGCTGCAGTGATCAGACAGTCCCGCGGCCTTCCGTCTCCTCCCCGATCAAGAAAGAGACCAAAGGACTCGACTTTGCTCGTAGGGTGGAATTTTAAACTAACCTTTCTGCTAGCGTAGGACGCTAACGAAGTCCTTGGTCCTATGTATTGTACTCCCTCTTGCGAAACAGAAAAAAGGCCTTTCACTTGCATCTCAGGTTCCAAAATGGCGCATAGCCAGAGAATACCCTCAAGAGGACTGGTGAATGTCCGCGTCAGCTCTTCATCACCTGATGTTAGCGATTCGAAGTTTCCTAGAAATCTCTCAACGTTTTGAAGCACTGAATCTCTAAATGTCATCAAAGTATCTTGGCACTTCAAAGGAAGTCTTCCAAGTCCATTTACAACAACAAAATCGCCCCTTTCTATAGTAATAAGACATCCAGGCCGAAAAATACCTCTCATATTGATCAAGATTTTCTCCTTACTCTTTGACGTTTTACGAGCCAATTGTGCCAGAAAGGTACTAACAGGGGGAAGCCGACAAATAGCTTCCAGAAGATCTCCTACGCCGTAAAACTGTTGCACACTACCATCTTCCTGTGCTATATTTTGTGGAATAATTTTTTTCGTACGTTTCATCTTAAGCAGTTGTAACATATTACTATTTTGACTCAATCCTGAGACGCAGTTCATTACTTGAATAATTTGTTTTAGTGACAGGAGTTCTGTGGAACGAAGGCCCTCTGTTGCCTGATCCGTGTCACATTTCCAGCTCGTTCGTCCACGTTCTAGCAAGATCCATCCAGGAGTTGCCGTTGTCTCTTTTGTTGTTTCTCCTTCTCGAGTAATCGTCAAACGGTCTATAAAGAAACGTTTCAGGGGCAAGAGGATTAATAAACTTGTCGGGTACTATATATATGGGGCCGACCCTCAATCATTTATTACGCGCGCTTTCTCAAACGCGGAGGCCTCTCTTCAATTTAGAGATCTCTTTGTCCCAACAGGATGCTGGGGAGAGAAGAAATGTAAGGGGGAAGGGGGGGGGGGTTGGGGAATTGGGCGTGTGCGTGGGACAGAAAAGGGAAAGAAAGACATGCGAGAAAGACGTTTCCTCCTTCCCATAGTTCCTCTCGCGCTCACTGTCCGTTGAATTTATTCCTCTGCTCATCCAGCAGGGCCATTTGCAGAGGGAGAAGCGCTGAGACAGTGTTGGGCATGTAGATTTTTCTCTTGTGCGATGGCTTTGCCGCGCGAAGGAGTGAGGACGTAAGCTAAATGAATGCTATTGCTCGGATGATATGGCTGTGCGAGTGTTTAAAATAGTGCCCTTATCTTGATTGGTTTGTGCATAGGGTGAATTTCACTTTCATTATAACGATTTCAAAAGGAAAAAACTAAACAAGAAGAATTGCAAAAATATACCCATTTTAATATATGACACTCAAGTGCTGATGTTTTTTGGCAGTGTCTTTTTTTTATAATCTCATTTTTTGCCAAGGAAAAGCCTGCAAAGAAGTTATAGTCGGTAGTTTGGCTTCTTACCAGAGCTCTTGACAGGTGTGATTACGTCGTGATCCAAGACTAGAAATAACAAGAAAAGAAATAAACCAACATCATATATACGTTTACTGACTTGAGTCAACATGCATCACATGGACATTTTATTTCTGCGTGCAACATTTAACTTACCGACAGAGGCTTTTGAACTAAATTGCCTGCTTAAGGTGGCCGGGATAACTCTGCTCTCCTTAGAAGAACTTGCAGCTGAAGGAAATAAAAGCTCAAGAAAATAACCACAAATATAAACGAACAGGAACTGCTTAGAATTTAGTTGGTTTCTAATTAAACTTCTTACACTATGTTAAAAAAGTTAATTAAATTTGATTAAATTTTCAATCATCATGATTTTGTCCGAATTCCGTTTCGGCATCAGATTACACCGCTTTTTTAAATTAAAGCGAGCTACTTTACTCAATTTCAAGAAGCCTTATGTTCTTCTACCAACAGAAGTTCAAATCTGTTAAAGCTTTGATCCCAGGAGTCATTTCCTAAGTAGGTTGAGTTTGATCGTCAAGGTGAACGTGATCCTGAATAGAACTGTTGTTGTTGAGAGTGACTGACCTTTTGACAACCTGTGGGGTAGTCATCTTCAGAGTCAAAGTGAGTTGTATTACGTCAGTTGACGGTATTTAAAAACTCTGGTTATTGACCTGATTGCTCAATAGACCTTGTCACGGTTTTCGACGCCATCTTGACGAGTAGGCAAACGCATGAGAAATTACAGTGTTTGTATGAGAAACTTATGTCGAATAATTTCCGTCAAGAGAGGATAAAGGGGACAGAGAAGGCATCCCCCATACACACCCTATTCCATAGGTAATTCGTCTCGAGTTATTTTTAAGACCATAGATCCCATGGGGGATTAGACAACAGCCAATCACATAGCGCGAATGTGTTCCGCGTGGATGACCCACGCTCAGAGTCACGCGTCCGGTCGTTTGTATAATAAAGCAAGTTGGACGCCAAGTGTTATTTTTGTTGAATAATAAAAGGCTAATAAAAGAATAAATATCAAACCAGAAATTGCTCTCTTCAAACTGTAAATCATAAATGATCCTGAGAGAATATTCAGTGTGTTAAGGATTTCCCTGCTGTACTGTTAGCTCTATACAAGAGAAGAAGGGCGATTCTTTTTTAATTTCCGTTTCGCTGACACAGCTTTAGCAGAAATCTCTCTTTAGTCGTTTTTGTCTACAAAACAAATAGCAATATCGCTCTCCGCGTCTTCCGCCATTTTTTCTGCTTCAATTCGTAAAGGACGCGTGGCTTTAAGCGTGGGTCATTCACGCGGAACACATTCGCGCTATGTGATTGGCTGTTGTCTAATCCCCCATGGGATCTATGGTCTTAAAACTAACTCGAGACGAATTACCTATGGAATAGGGTGTGTATGGGGGATGCCCTCTCTGTCCCCTTTATCCTCTCTTGCTTCCCGAGAATTGCTGTTCTAAAAAAAATATGAATTGTAAACTAAAGCTTCACTCCTAAGGAATCTACAGAAAAAAATCGAAGGCGTTATATGTGCTAGAAGACCTAGAACCACTTTTTTTGAATTTTCTATACATTTGTCTGCAAGAAACTGAGTCCCGGGAAAAGTTACTGACAAATGTATGGAAAATCTAAAGCAGGCCTCTGGAGAAATTTAAGCTCAGGTACGCCCCCCATTTTTCAGTACAATCCTTTGTTTTGTAGCTTTAGTTTACAAATTAGTCATATTTTTTTCAGAACAGCCGTTTTACGGAAATAGTTCGACATTAGATTCTCATACAAACACTGTAATTTCTCCCACATTTGCCCACTCATCACGACGGCGTCGAAAACCGTGACAAGGTCTATTAAGTCGCGATGTTATTGGTCGTCTGTCAGTTAAGCCGTGATGTTACTGGCCATGAAGACTCATGATGTCATTGGTGGGTTTCGATCCGTCTATTGTCACTGGGTTAAACAGTCTTGTACTGTTACTCAAATTGTCAGTTGTCCAGTCGTTGTCTCGTAGTTAGTTTTATTATTATTGATTCCGTCAATAAGTCTTTTGTACGGTGCCCGTAACTGTTGACTACAATTCAGTGGCGTTTGTTCTAAGTTAGTAAACCAACTTCTCAAGAGGTTCGAATGTTCCTTCTAGATATGACTGAAGTCATTTTAAAAGACAGTTCTCTGAAACAGCATTTCTGCTAGATGAGGAGAAAATTTTGTGCACAAAAGTTTTCTCGGATGGAAGAATAACAAGATCGAGTGTATCAGATCTACTAAAAAAACAATCATTTACGATTACATTTTTACATACTTAGCTGGGACAATTCCTCGCCCTGCCTGAAACATTGACTGGGCGTCAAACTTCTACCCTAAAACAACAATAGAAAAAAGATTTCTTTGAAGTTCTGACTGAAAGATTATCGTTCTTTCTTGGTCACTACGAAAAGCGAAGCTGGCGACCCCGTTATAAACAAAATGTCAAATTATTTCTATGTAATTATGCAGTAGGCGCCATAGGCCATTTACACGAGGGCTTCATTTTACAAATACGACCAGAATCCTTTTCGTTTTTACTTTTCATAGTTATATTTGGTAATCCCAGCGAGATTTAAATGACAAAAGCCGTAATTTGCACAAGAAAGGAAAACCGCGAGGGATTCTGGTCGTAGCAGTAAATGATGCCAGTACAGTACAGACCTACCCCAATCTCTAATGATTTGGCTTCCTTTGCTTCGCTGCTTGTTGGCTCTGAGAAGCTTTTTGCTATTTCGAGCCCAAAAGGTTCCATTTTCTGAAGTAGTTTGCATCCTAACTTTGATTCCTTCAACGCTTTTTTGAATCTTCCTATGTTAGATAAGGATGCCGGCTCATCAAATACAGACGGACGCCGTCCAGTTCTCGTGGTATCCCTTAGTCTTCTATCCTGTTGAGGAGAAAAACAAACAAACAAACAAACAAATAATAAAAAAAAATCTCATCGGTGGAAATTTTTTTTGTTCCTTTGTTTCAGGATTAAGAGACTACAAGAGATACAAACAATATTAATTAAGCGTAATAAAAGCCCGCGTTGGGGAGGAAATCTCGTCAATGCGTAGGCACAAGCGATGGCGGTATTTACACTACAGGGCGTCTAACCTCTGGCTGGTAGGTGATAAAATAACAACAAAAAAGGAGAAGTCGAAAAACTACCGTAAAGCAGACAGGCAACGCGTATTGATTTTTCCAAACAATATTTCGATCGGCGGGCCATAACAGCCTTCTTCAGGTTTACAGATGTACCTACCCGCATCAGTCAGAATTGGTCGACCGGACCATTCCTCTCATAAAAAGAATTCTACCACTAATCTGGAACCCGAATTGTTCGGCCAGATCCGTCTACTACTAAACAGTATGCACGGAATTGGTGTTTAACGCAAACACATGAAAACTTAAGCATACCGTATTTCTTCGAATAAGCGCCAAGCCCTATCCTCCATCCCTTTTATTAATAGTGGGGATACAAGGAAAACCTGTCCCTATTGCCACTTTATTGATAACTCTGTGTGTAAACTGCAGAATGGGACTAAGGTACGCTTGATGACCAACAGGAGAACTTAAAAAGAATCCGCCTCGATTAAGCGCCTTTCTTCCATAACCGCTCATCCTTTTTTTATCCTAAATTGTAAATAAGCGCCTGGGCGCTTATTGAAAGGAAATACGGTATTTCATTTCAAAAATAAAGGGCTCGGCCGGCCATGCTCTCTAGTTAAAGTTTATAGGGCAATTTTCAAGTCACCATGGTTTTGGGATGTTTGAACTTGGCCTTGAATGGTCTCCTTCTCAAAGTAGTCCTTAGGTTATCAAATGAATCCCCCTTATCTTTGTCCGCTTCAGCTTCTTGTTCCATATTTTCCTGCTTTTTGCTCTTCTCCTGTCGCAATCGAACTGCTAATTCCATTAAGACTGCATTGTCGTTTGATGGTAGTTGCAGATGTACTACTCCCGCGTTCATTATCAACCCGCTTAGTCCCTCCATCGTGTCAACACCTAATTAGGTCATAAAAGATGACGACGATCTGAAGCTAAAATAACTGCGACAAATTCATTGATCACAAATTGTTCTCAGTGAAAAGTGACACGCTGGGCAAAAAGGTATGCGTTAAACTGAACCTCGGGCAAAGAGATGGTGTTAAGTGGATTACGATAGGAAGTTCTGGATCTCTCTCTCTGGAACGGTGGTAAAAAAAATTGTGACAAAGTCTCTGTGTATTCATATTCGGGAATACGATCAATAGATCTCGTCCTCGTGGATGAAGCCAGGTAATTGACTGTCCTTTCAAATGAAAAGAACAGATCGGAAACATTTTATCAGTGGCGTTAATTTGCAGTTAGAAATTAATTGAATTAGGTCATTATCATTATCATCATCATCATCATCAATTATCTTACACCAACCACAGCTACACCAAATATCAACTTTCTTTAGCTTAGGAAACGTTTTAACCTGCTGTACGTTTGTCGTATCTACTGGTTAACAATTATGCAATACAAAACGTTTTCCGTGTTTGCATAGCCTGATATAAACACGAGAGGGGTTGGGAGAATTCGAGACAGTTATGCCAACCCGAGACGAAGTCGAGGGTTTGCATGACCGTCGAGAATTCTCCCAACGCCTCGAGTGTTTATATCAGGCTATGCAAACACAGGAAAAAAGTTTCTATTGCTTTTATAAAATAACTTTCCCGAGAAAAAAAACGCAAAACTCTTTGTATGGCACTGATTAAAAGAGAAATTCTTACCAGTCGCAAAATCTTGTCCACGAAGTCCTGCAAGCGTAATCAGTTCTTGTTTTGCAAAAAGATGCTTTGCAAAATACTCATTTTTGTCGCTTAAAATATCAGCTTAAGCGAAGAAAAATTGACTAATCTTCTTTGTAACGATTTTCCATGTTTCAACCGACGAAGGAATGGGTAAATAAAGTAAACTTGTCGAGTTTTCAACGCGAAAACTTTTTCAAATTCGTGCTTGCGTGATTAGCGCGCGAAAAGCCAAACAACTCGACATACTCTCATGCAAACACTCCTCTCGTCCAATCAGAGCGCGCGTACTATCTTAGTTATTTTATAAATTCTTCTTGCAGTGCTATGATATTCATGTGCATGAATGCATCAGCAATTGATCAGAGGCTTGCTCTTAATCCAAGTAAGTTTCATCACCACAGAAGTCAAAAGGAGAAAATAAATAGATACCTTTCGTCTTCCCTTGTTATACCTGTTAGAGTTTTTAAAACTTTCTTCGCCTCTTCTCGGGTGCCTTTATCGGTATCCACGAGTCTGCGCACAACAGTCAGATAAGCATCTTCGCGATGTACCTTCATTTCGCCTAGAGCCCAAACTGCCGCCTGTCGGTTTCCTGCTATTTCACTGTACGACAATTTAATAAGAAGATTTTGGATTTCGAGTTTCTTGTCCTCGGGGATACCAAACTCTCTAATGGAGAGAAATAAGAATGAGGCTTTCAGAAATATCTTAAAATAAAAGTTATAGGACATATTCCTACACTTGCCTAGGCGGTGAAACAATTTTGAAATAAAAAAAAAATACGCTGTCACTTGCAGAAAGAAAAGTTTAAAATAGAACTTGCGTCGGCCGGGAATCGAACCAGGGTCAACTGCTTGGAAGGCAGCTATGCTCACCACTATACCACCGACGCTATGTGCGTACTACAGGGTAATTCACGGCAGCTTTTTGGATGAACTGTTCTCGTCTTTCCCTCAATGAATTATAATATCCGAGTCAGCTACAAGCTTGGTAAAAAATTGGAAAATATATCAAACGGTATTCATTAACAAACTCTCGCCTTCGCATACTTACGGTTTGTAGACAGAAGGTTCGGTCATTCTTTAGTAAAAACGGGAATAATATAAAGGAATTTCCGTGAGTCACCCTCGAATAAACTAGCGCTTTTAACGTATACCAGCTATCGCTATTTTAAAGATGCAAAGTCTTGCCTTTCAACATTCATGAATTCTTCGCAAATGTCCTGAATCTCTCTAAAGCTGTTCATTTTTGGTAGAACTTTCAGCATGTTATCTATAACGTCGCCAACGTTAGGAATATCTCGTCTCCTTTGAGCCAACTTTGGATACCAGTCCTTGCGTACGATTTGAGACAGCAACGGTAACTCTGATGAAGTGATCTCGAGCTAGAAACGATCGGTGTGATAAAGGTATGATTAAAAAGGATCCGCAGAGGAAAAAGAAATAAAAAATAAAAACGAAAGGAAATATGGTCCATCTTTTCGTCTCAAGGATTTTTAATTCTTACTTAAGAGAAACTACAAAAGTAAAAACAACCAAACTCAGTACTCACGATTTTGATTTTGATCGGGACTAAAATTAAGAGCTTACAGACAAAGTACTGATAAAAATATGGTAATGTATATTAACGGACCTTCAGTTTGTGCGCTCCAAGACGAGTTAAGACAGAATAAACTTCGAGCAAGTAAGGAATAAAAGGTCAAACAATGTTAATAAACGCCCCAAGATCGTTGATTAAAATTCGGATAAAAATAGCCTTTATAGCATAACATAAGACGAAAAAATAAATAATACGTACTGTTACCCAGCCGTTATTGACCCAATTTCCGTTGCTATATCTCCTTCGTTTTTCTCCCGCACACCCCGCGCGCCTTAGGCTATGTCCAGTCTATACCGTGGGCTAGCTTTCGTGCCGACGCGAAAAACTATACGGTAAAGTATGAACACCTATCCAATATGTGACTCTCCAGTTTAGAGATCGGCACTCCGTTACAGAAATCGAGCGAAATCACTGTTCTTCTCACAGAGGCCCTATCTGTTGTAATGTGAAAATAGCCTTAATCTAACCCCAGTCTTCTCACATTCAGCTTAAAATCCATTCATGTCTATTGTTACCTTCATAACGCTCTTCGTGCTCTCAGTTTCACTCGGAGACGACTGAGATTCGTCAATGTCTTCAAAATATAAGTCTTCCTCTCCTTCGCTCTCCTGTAAAGACTCTTCCGGTGTTTCAAGTAGTTCAGACCCAGACCACCCGTGACTACTCTCTGGGCTGGCATCACTGACTTCCTCTTCCTCCGTGTCCGGTTCCAGTTCCTCCTCTTCCTCCGTACCGTACTCCATTTCTTTGTCTTGCTCTTCTTCTTCTTCCTCCTCTTCGAATTCCATCAGTGGTCCTTCACTTCGAAACAAATAAAAACGCTTTAAAGGGGCTGTGAAGTCACGGTTGTCTATTTCATTCGTAGAATAAAAAAATATATATATTGCCAATTAAGCTTTCTTATGTGCGAAGAAATTACTTATAAATGACAAAATCACAGCTTTAAGTCCAGTAAATATACTTCTCAAGTATTATATCAAACGTTACAAACAACTAAAATGAACTTTTAAAACTTAGTTAGGCTAACAGGTTTTCAAAACCCACTATTTCACTCCCTTTAATCTTCAAGTTTGTCTAACCGTACCTACTTTGTAGTTGCTGACCTGTATTATCATGATTAAACGGCGATTATTTTTATGTTTCCCCTAATTTGATGGCAGTTCACACCGTTGGCTATATAATTTTGATAAAATTCATGACACTGCTCCTTCAAGTAAAGGATATTAGACGTCACAAGCAGGATAAAACAAAAGGAATGTGATGAAGGTAACGTCTACCCTGTAACAGCTGGTATCCTGACCAGCGGGTTCCCCCTTGTTTTATTAGGAGCATGCGCACGGGTCCTCGTCACTAGCGTGCACGAGGCCACCGTGAAATAACCTCAAGTTTTCTTCAAGTTTCTCAAGTATTTTTGTAAGTTGTTTGTTGAAGTTTTCCTCGTAATATGGATTTCTTTTGTCGTAACTAATTGATACGTGTGGTGATCGCTTCGTAAGATACTTGTGAGTCATTCAGCCCCCTGTATATATGATTAAACGTTAAGTTCTCATTTTCAACGTCATGGATATCTTGTGCCGCCATTCGCCGCCAGAACCCTATTCGGGTAGCTGAAAAGTCTTATCTCACATCTTCTTAAAACAGAAAGGCCGTTAGATAAATTCTTGATAAGTTATCCAAATTTTTCTTCATTCTTTGTAGGTGTCTTTTTTCCTTTTAGGGCTTGCGATAAAAGGGATATCGGGAGAATATATTTTTCCATATTAATACTTATTATATCTCAGAAGGACATCACAAAAGTGCCCTGGCATATGAAGCTCCTGATGATGTTCAGGGAAATTGTGTTTATTTGATTAACTGAGTTATTGACTTCTAGTATGTTTTTTTTTTCAAACCCTTGGATATTCCTTATCGCAACACTTATCTACCTTCGTGCCGCCCGAGGTCGTGGAGGCAACTTCCGCCTCAAACTAGAAGAGGCAGACTGGGAGACTTTTCGTCTTTTTCTTCCTTCTTTTTGTTTCTTTTTCTTGGAGCTCCCTTTACTCATTTTTTCCTTGAGGTGAGCTGCTCGCGTTGATTTCCAAAGAGTCCAAAAATCTTTGAAAGCAAAAATAATCAAACTTTTACGGCACGACCTGTTAGTCAAATGAAGGTTCCGTAAACAGGTTCCGTAAACCCATTTAAAGAGACACTAACCATAAAAAAGATACCCCTTTATGGTCTCTTTGTGAAACCAGAATCATTCGAAAACAAAGAGAATGGAATGCCACATTACATCGTAATCAATGTTTTCCGATTGCTTTCTTTTTAACGCACGGGAATAAGTTTGAAAACCCACTCGCCCGCGAGTTCCTAAAATATCTTCTGGAAAGTTAAGCAGTGTTATGCTATTATTTCGTCATGCAGAGGGCAAAAAGTCACCTTTATCATTTACCTGTAATCTTAGGCTTAAATTGCTGATTATCTTCGTCTTCTTCTTCTTCTTCTTCTTCTTCTTCTTTTACAGGTTTTTCCTGTTGTAGCTCTGGGCGTGTTATCCGAGGTATCCGCCTCACCCGGGGTCTTTTTGGGGTGATGCGTTTGCGAACCACAGAGTTTGGAATAAATCCGTCTGGTGCGCATGGCCAGTAAACCTCAGCTGCTGCCTCCTCTTCGTCGAGTACAGTGGGCGCAAGAGCTTTCTCCTGAGGTTCGCCGTTTGCCTCAGGTTCTTCTTTTACCAATTCCTAAGACAAATAAATCAATCAATATGTAAGTAGGTAAATAAAATTTTAACGATTTAGAAGTAGCACATTCACAAAGTGGAATCTGGAAATGTTGTTTTCTGAGGAGAGGGGAAAACCGGAGTACCCGGAGAAAACCTCTCGGAGCAAAGGAGAGAACCAACAACAAACTCAACCCACATATGGCTTTTCGACGCCGGGATTTGAACCCCGGCCACGCAATGCTCTCCTAAATGAGAGTTTTTAATACTGATCCTTGCTGTTTTTTCTCTTTTAGGCTGCTATTTCTAACAGTGATAAACCTGTCTAAGAGCTTTGGATCGTAATTGAATTCCAAAAAGACCGTTTTCAATTAAAGTGGAAAGTTTCGTTACCGTCATGGCGTTCACTGCATCAGAAAGGCTTGATCTTGAAGACTTTGCCAATAATCTTCTCAACGCCATCATGACGTGGACCTCAGTAAAGAATAGAACTCATCAGTCAGTATTAGCCTCTCGTTTTTTAGAAAAATCAATATTAAAAATATCAAGAAAACAATGTTTTCTTTTCCCACTTCGAGAAACCATAGAGTCCTATGAATGTGGCAAAAAGATTCGAAAACATTTGAAAAGATTTATAATAAAAGGTGTTGCGGTCGGTTCTTGCACTACCTTTAGGGAGCTTTATAACATAGCTAGAAAATTCACCTGATCAAATACAATAGCGCGAGCGTGCTTCATATTCCTATTGGGCACGCTGATGACGTCAATAAACTATTCGTAATTCCTCCGAGTTGTTAATGTGAGCTTAGCAGTCCTGAGTCTCCTGAGTGCGTCCATAACTCAGCAGTGCACGATGAAGCGTTTTCCATGTGTTTTATAAGAAAATTTAACAGGAAACGTTTGAATTTTCTAACCGATAGGAAGGAAAAGAGGTGAGTGTTGTCAGCTGTTGTCATCTGCGTGAGCTGTGCGGACCATGGCGTGAGCTCATTCTTTGCAAAGTTGTTTTCTTTCAATAACAATTTTTCGGTGAATTAATAGTTTTCCGGCACCTAAATATGGATTTTACAATCATTTTTGAGTAGACTTTCGCACAGTTTCACGATAAAAACATAAGCTTAACTGTGCGGAAAAAAAACATAGTCACGTAAACATTGACGCGTACTGCTTTGACCGCGCCCTACAATAATAAAATTTTAAATTAACTGCTACATTGATCGCTTTGATAATGTTATAAAACAATTAGTTCATGCTGCAGCTGTGCGTATGTCGAGATATTGAGCACTTGGGAAGTTTGGAGAGCACTCAAGAGGCTGCGCCTCATGCAACTCTTACGCCTCTTTCGTGCTCTCCAAACTTCCCGCGTGCTCAATATCTCGACATACGCACGCTGACGCATGAACTAATTGGGGACTTTAAGATCCAACGACGCGACGGCGACAAGAACGTCGCTTAAAAAGTGAATTTGCGTTCTTTCAGTCTTTATACCGATTATTCCTACCCACCTACTTTGTCAATTGTAGGCGAACCCTCCAAGCTGAATTTCAAGGGACCAAATTCAAGCTCAGAAAGAGAAAGAAAATTTCGTCTTTGCTTGTTTACGTCCTCCATAAAACGCGAAATTAGGCATTTTCACGTCGTAGTCGAGCAAAAACGGGAAAGAAATGTAAAAAAAAGCGTGATGCACGTGAGAAGTTGTTGTTGTACTAATTAAACCAATTGTTTTTTTGACGTTTTCGTTGTTGTCCGCGTCAAAAAAGCAATAGGTTTATTACGCAAACAACAACTTTGCACGTGCATCACTCTTTTTTGTACATTTCTTCACCGTCTTTGCACGACTACGACGTGAAAATGCCCAATTGCAAGTTTTATGGAGGACGTAAACAAGCGACGACGAATCTCTTTTTCTCTCTCTAAACTTGAGTGCGGTCCCCAAGAAATCAACTCAAGGGAAGTTCGCCTACACTTGCCATTTTCAGCAAATTGGAATATACGCGACAAAGATTTTTTTAGAAACGTGAATTCATTTTAAAACTGACGTTTTCGCTGCCGTTGCCGTCGTCGATGCTAAAGCTCCCTTTTGTAGTCGTTGTACGACTACAAGGCGAAACTTCCTAATTTGCTCGTTTTATGGAGGAAGTGAACAAAAGGGAAATAATTAGACTTAGAAACCTAGAAACATTCCTTTAGAATTCCGACCCTTCCAGAATAAATTTAGCCATCATTTGACAAATTGAACGAGATGGAATGAGAGCGATGAAGTTTGAAACAGCCCAATGGTTTCACTTTTTAAGTGCATTTTGCGTCTTCGCTGTCTTCATATTAGTCTGGACTGTTGTTATATGTCTTCAAAAAAGCCTCATCGTTGTTGTTGGTGGGGGAGGGGAGGGGAGGGGAGGGGGCTTCTTGAGTTAAAGCCGTTGATATGAAAGAGTTTTGTTTCGTAAGCTAGTGCGTATAAACGAGAAAACTTTTTGAACTAGTAGTTCGAACTGTCTGGAATTGAAACTGACAAATGACGTGAGCCTTATATGTAGGGTTAATCCGAGCTTGTAAAATCTTCAACATACTTTTCTTTTACTTTTCTAATAAATTATAGCATTTCAAACCTGTGTGGAGAGTCTTCTTGACCGCCTTTGTTTCTGGAACAGATCCAGGTCCTCTTCATCTTCTTGTTTTGGTTTAATAGTAACTGTCTCCTTCTGTAAACAAAACCCGGACAGTTCCTTGTCAGTTAACAAAGAGAGAGTGATCAACGGTTAGCGAGAAAGATGGCGGCTGTAAAATTACAGTAAATTTAACTTATTGAAGCTGATTTTTCTTGTTTCTTTCTTCTTATTTCGTGTGTTTCCCTTTCTCTTTCTTTCTTTTTATGCGTGCATTAATGTGCTACAACCTGAGTATCTTGCTAACCTGTAATTTGTTTCTATCTAATGCTAGCCCCTATATTCCAGTCAGCCAGTACTCTAACTATATTTTCAATACTTTTATTGTTGTAATTTATTTTTAGGCAAGAGAGAGTTCAAATAAAGATTGTTGTTTTGTTGTTGTTGGTCCTATCTATCTGAGTGTAAATTTGCTTAAGCTACCTGTAATAGAATAAACTTGTGTATGATGCATTTCGTCCACACCAGCGTTCAGTTCTTTCTCGCCTTCCCACAGAGTTTACCATAAACAAAAGCCGGGAAGAACAAGACATGACGCAACGACCAAGAACTGTGATGAACTAAACCGCAAAAATACCTCATGTATATACGTATTTAATCTATAGGTCTTTTCCTCCGTTATCGATGGCACAAAACGTTTAGTCGTTAAAATACACATTTGCATTTGCCTCTTCGTCACGGTCCTAGAATTTTCCCTGCATCACTAAAAACAGAATAGGAAAGAGTTTTTGAAAAACTGTGAGGAAAGAAAATGACGATCTCGATTCCTGTGATAAACTGAACATTATCATTTCCTGCAATGCAGCACAAGACACATAAAGATCGTCTGTTGTATGAAGTGCCTTATCCTCTAGACTGGAAAGCAGTAGCTTCATCCTCCCGGCCGGTTCACCTACCTTCCTTTTCTTCTTCGGTCTTTTGACTTCCGGTGGTTCGAGAGGCCTTCGCTTGCTGGCCTCTAGAGGTATTCTGGGAACGCGTGCAGGATCGTACCAGAACTTCAGCAAATCATCAAACTGCACGTGATCTTCAAATTGGTCGTTATCAAAGTGCATCTTGGACACGATTTCCAAGTAAGACAAAGGCAAGTAGTTTAAAATGGTTACCAAGCTGATCTGAGACTGGAAACCCACTAAAATGTCTCCACGTGAGTTAGCAAAGCATACACCACAGAGTGATTCGTCAAAACTCATCTCTCGAACTAACTGATTATCACAGTTCCAAATTTTGACACTGTAGTCCTCGCTTGACGTTGCAAATAGTCTAAGAGTCGAGCAACAGGAAAGCTGTTTTATCAAAAGAAAAAAAAAAGACAGAAAGAAAAAGAAAACTCATAGCACATCCATAATCATAGAGTTAAAAACCCAATAAACCATATCCCAAAATGGACTACTAGTATTGATTTCGTTTGTCTCTTTACCAGTGAACGTCAGGTTTTGTGGACGACGATGATGGACACTTGAATCCTAGATAAAGATTATAGCACAGTGATTGGTGTAGGATTGGGCCTTAACTTCAAAATAATTATTAAATATTTTCAAATCAAGCTTTGAAACTTTTACAGCATACTGGATCAGCGAACCACAAGCATGACGGAAAACTATATACGTGATTCTATAGATAACTGCATTATCGTACTTACCTAAAATGCTTATTCTGCACTTCTAATTAAGAAAATTTGACCATTTTGACTATTAGGTCGACTACATAGGCACAGGTAGGAATTTTTAATTAAAAGCAATCCCTGATATTTATACCTCTACCAAGATATGCTTCTCGGCTATAGTTCAGTTGTATGAAAAAAACAGAGGACACATTCCCAGGACTACTATATTAAGAACATTCAAAACTTCTGAAGCTGCTATTTCAAAAAAACTTGTTCGGGCAAGGAAATCAATTCCTTTTGTGAGCCACTATGCCCTCGATCCAAAGGACGGTTTAACCTAGCGATAGTCTCGTGTCTTGCGCTCAAAGCTCTCTGATATATAGCTTGTAATTGAAAAAAAACTTGCAGCGTATCCTTACCCCATTGATAGGTGCAATGTGTCCTTCATCCTTTGAATGAGTTAGGAATTCGTACGTCTTTTTAGTTTTGTTAAATATGTTAGCTCCACACTGCTTTTCTTCCGCTCTTACTCTAAACGTCACAAGCAAAATGAAAAGGACGATAAACAAACTTAGAACGGGACGTTTGTGTAACTGGAATTGCGTTAGACGATAGAGGAACGCAACTCCTAAGTCTCGGCATTCTGTGGTTCTTTTCATCGCACCATCATGCATTCCTCACGACAGACCATGGCCATGTGCTAGGCAACGATACAAAGCTCGCTTACAGCAAGTTTTTTTTTTTCTCTCTGTCAAAACAACAGCTTAACATGACACCCAGGATATTGCGCACATCTTTGATAAACGGATAATCGAACCAGTATCAGCATCAAATAAAAACAGCCAGGCTGTCTGTTGTCATTTTACCACTCGCTGAGGCTTTACATGTAAAGTGCCTGTTTCATGCAAGAATAATGGCGTATGTTTTCTACAAAACTTTTTATTTTATAGTCGATATGTCTTAATATCAGAACACGGAACTCCTTTTGCCCAGAGAGTACTTTTCCGTTCACTTTAAGTTTGAGATAACCATGGAATGTTAATTTTTGAAGATACCATCGAATCTACTCTTTGAGGTTTCCGTGCATCCAATCAAAACGTATACTTTAATCTCAAACGCACTCTATAATCTACGATTACTACTAACATAATTTCAGATACTAAGCCGATTGCAAAATTTCATCTGTGTAAATGTATGTCAAAACATTTACTATAATTTAATAAATGAAGGGAAAAACTGCATACATCTTCGCCTCCGTGGCCTAATGGATAAGGCGTCGGCCTCCTACGCATCAGTTGCCATGGCAGCCGAAGATTGCGGGTTCGAGTCCCGTCGGAGGTGTTTCTTTTAAACTTTTTTCCCCAAGCTTCAAAAATGCTATCCTAAAACTTTCAAAGTCTTTCTCAGAGAAGACATCAGACAGCTACCAGAATATTTTCTATAACGGCATAAAAATTTTGTTACTTTACTTTCCCTGATCTCGCCGGGTAACTCGCATGCACCATTTTCTCAACGACTCATTAATTTATAAATTGAAAACGGTTGTAACTTTCTTGCGTCTGTTTGTGCTTAAGCATCCACACGTAAACGCTTACATAGCGTACTAAGTATGATGTATGACATCATTATGATCGTAATCGGAAACCTCTGTTTTCGTAAGTTCAATCGAAAACGGCAATACAATGTTTTCAAAAATTTTTATCCTGGGAAACGCTTTCAAAAACCTGCGTTTCTGGTGCCCGCTTACGTGTGGACGATAGCCTAAAACGGAGAAAAAATCTCCGTTTTCAAAAATATCAAGATACGTGTGGACTGGGCTAAAGGTACGGTAAAGCGGAGAACAAAAACGTGCAACGTGTTTTGCAACATTGCTACAAAACGAGTTGAAAAGCACTGCAGCAAGTTTTGTGATAGGTTCTAAACTTTCAGGCCATGCAACACCTTTATCAAAAAACTCGCATTGGCTGCCAGTTGAAAAGAGAATTGAATTAAGATTCTCTTTTCAACCTACAAGGCCGTAAACGGTCGGTCTGCAGACTACTTAAATCTTCTAATGCAAGTCTATCAGCCAGTACGAACTTTAAGATGAAGGTCACGTTAACTTCTCTGTCCTCAAGGAGCTAGAACTGACAACTATGGTGGTAAAACTTTTTCAGTTGTGGCCCCTAAATTCTGGAATGTCATACCACAAAACATCAAGGAACCAAAGACTGTTGACAGTTTTAAAAAACTGCTGAAAACGTACCTTTTTAAATCATTTTTAAATTCTTAAGCTGTACGTTGCAAGACAGGTTTGAATATGAGTACTAAACGCGCAACAAAATACTACTACTACTACTACTACTACTACTTTTACTACTACTAATAATAATAACTTACTTCTATGAAGCAATTAAAAATCTCAATGCGCGTTACAATAACAAAACGTCTAGATAAAAATAAAAACAGTATCCCGATATAGCTTCGTACACAAGACTCGCCGCAGTATTCTGGATTCGTTGCACGAAGTTTATCTCTTTGATACTTAGGGATGCCTTATGAAACACTATTGCAGTAATCTAATGGAGAGATGACAAGAGCAACATTGCTTTTCAGCTCGTTTTGTAGCAATGTTGCAAAACACGTTGCGTCGTTTTTGCTCTCCGCTTTACCGTACCTTTAGCCCAGTCCACACGCAGGGGCACCCAATGGATCTGTTCCTCAAAATATCTGTTCTTCATGCAAATTTTTGCTGGCTGGGAGATGTGGAAAAAATAATAGTCCTTGGAAGGAAAGTGTTGCTGGGAAAAAGATAATTCAGGGTGTCAGAGGGGATTTGAAGTCTAGAATAGCTGCTACGGGTTACTTGTATGGGTTGCTTACCACTCAAGATCTGAATTGTGCCCTATGAAACTTCCCAGTAAGTCAGGTTGCAGGTTGTAAGGTTGCTGGCTGGGAACTCTTCCATCAGTCTTGCTGGGAGTGAGGAACAGATAATTTTTTTTCCAGCAATCTCCCAAAATGCTTAAAATAGTCTCAGAAAACTTTATTCACGCTTTGTTGTTGTTTTTAGGTCTTTTTCTCAAAATTTCCCGTTGGGTGCCCCTGCACACGTATCTTGATATTTTTGAAAATGGAGATTTTTTCTCCGTTTTAGGCTATCGTCCACACGTAAGCGGGCACCAGAAACGCAGGTTTTTGAAAGCGTTTCCCAGGATAAAAATTTTTGAAAACATTGTATTGCCGTTTTCGATTGAACTTACGAAAACAGAGGTTTCCGATTACGATCATAATGATGTCATACATCATACTTAGTACGCTATGTTAGCGTTTACGTGTGGATGCTTAAGCACAAACAGACGCAAGAAAGTTACAACCGTTTTCAATTTGTAAATTAATGAGTCGTTGAGAAAATGGTGCATGCGAGTTACCCGGCGAGATCAGGGAAAGTAAAGTAACAAAATTTTTATGCCATTATAGAAAATATTCTGGTAGCTGTCTGATGTCTTCTCTGAGAAAGACTTTGAAAGTTTTAGGACAGCATTTTTGAAGCTTGGGGGAAAAAGTTTAAAAGAAACACCTCCGACGGGACTCGAACCCGCAATCTTCGGCTGCCATGGCAACTGATGCGTAGGAGGCCGACGCCTTATCCATTAGGCCACGGAGGCGAAGATGTATGCAGTTTTTCCCTTCATTTATTAAATTATAGTAAATGTTTTGACATACATTTACACAGATGAAATTTTGCAATCGGCTTAGTATCTGAAATTATGTTAGTAGTAATCGTAGATTATAGAGTGCGTTTGAGATTAAAGTATATGTTTTGATTGGATACCCGGAAACCTCAGAGAGTAGATTCGATGGTATCTTCAAAAATTAACATTCTATGGTTATCTCAAACTTAAAGTGAACGGAGAAGTACTCTCTGGGCAAAAGGGGCTCCATGTTCTGATATGATATGTTGCAGAAAGTAGAGAGTACTTACTCTAAGACGAAGAACGGTTGATCACTGAAGGAAAACCTTCCAAGGCTTCGAAAGGCATAACTAATAATTTGTTTTACGCGCGGGCAGATGATAGCATACATAAACTCGTTTTAGTACCGAGGACTGACTCAACCGAAGGCAAATGGAAATGTTTTCTCTTTTGATTATGTTATTAAAAAAAAATGGTTAACGCTGCAACAGAGCAACCATCAAGTTATGGATGCACTTGGGAGGTTTGCTCAGCACTCAAGAAGCTAGAGTTGCTCTCTAACTCTTACGCTTCTTTCGTGCTCAGTAACCTCCCGCGTGCATCCATAACTCGATGGTTGTACGCTGCACGTTTACCATTTCTTTAACCTGAGATCTAAGATTGGGGCTCTCTTTTCATTTCGCCTTCCCGCCGGAATGTTATTTACAAAGTGAAACGAAAATAGAGCCTGATCTCAGGTTACCATTTCTTAATTTGCAGCAATGATGCAAAACATGCTGCACGTTTTTGTTGCCCGTTTTATCGTTGATTAAACAAGCATAATGACAATTCAAACAAACCTGCACATGACAACGTTATTATCAGCCATGGCCATACACAGGGTGTCACCAGCCATTGCCAGGTCTCTAGGCAACTGCAGCAACTTGACAAGGGCCTTTTGTTGGATTGATACGCGATTTAATTCTGGGTTGATAAGTTGCCATATCCGTACCGTGCGATCCGTACCACAGGACACCAAGTGATCCTTTGCGGCAAGACTGTCATTTGACTTGGTAAATGAAGCCGAAACTCTCAGAAAAGTGACCTGGCCTTGGTGGGCCTGGACGTTATCTTTCATGTAGACATCTAGATAACAAAAGTCAAGGGAAATTAAGACTCGTGAATTCCATAACCTTCGCAGTTTTTGTCATTTTGTTATGGCCCCTGTATATTTTCATGCATAGATAGAAAACCTTTTTTTCGGAAATTAACTCCACGGACCAGTTTCGAAAATTTCAAGTTTTTCAGTTGTTCCTGAAACCCTTCAAACAAATCTCTGAATTCGGCTGTCTACGTGCCTATGGATGAGTGTTGTTGGACTGCCTGTGGCCATGAGAGTCACCCTGTGAAGCACTAGCTGCACATTTTGTTAGATCGTAATTTTACAAAACGATTTCCTAAAATGTCAAGATCTATTTCTAAAGAAAAGAGAAGTGTGACTTCACAAACATTCAAATTGGGGAAATTGTGGGATTGGACAGCGTATTCAGAAAGAACATGATGACAAAAACCTCTTGCCACAAATCAACCCGTTAAAGCAAATTGACGAGGAGATAAAGTCACCAGTTTGCTCTGATGACTCCACACGAATCCCTCTAAAATTGGCTGGGATCCTAACTTTTACAATCCAGGACTATTTTAGAAGGAGCCTACGGAGTCATTGAAGTATAAGGTTGCTTATATCTCCTCACCAATTTACACCAACAGGCTGATTTTTAATTTAGCAAGTAGATATTTTTCATCTTGTTCTATCATGATATGCCAACCAATCTCATACAGTTTCAAAAATTTGGTTTCTGTGACGTCATCACTTCTCTTCTCTATTGTTTTGATAGAGGAACTGCAAAGCCGCGCGGAGAATGGTGAGGAGACACTTTGAATTTTCCCGCGAATTTGGCGCTCGCTTCTCGCGGCAAAACTTCACCGGCGCAAAAACAATTCCGCCAGCTACGCAGGTTATTATTACATCTCCCTATCAATTTAATTAAAGTTATTGCATTGCACCTTTTCCGCTGATCAGTGATATTTGTCCGTTGAAGTGTCCAGCGAAAAGTAATCCGGATTTCAAAGGATTTGAACTTTCATCCAGGGCAAACTCCGAATATATCATGGCAAGACTACAGACTCCTTCCTCGGGACTCTCAGCTGCCCACAGCTGATAAGCACTGGGAAATAAAGTGAAAAGTTTTAGTGGGAGAATGCTGTATCTTAATATGCCACATAACACTTATGGTATACCTGTGGAAAGGGCTAACCTGACCAAGGCACAGGCCCACCAGGACGAATATTAATTTAGCGTATTGAACGCCTGAGCCTTAGGGTGAAAAAAAAAAAGAAATAAAAGGACACCAAAATGATCTAAAAGGATGGTTTCTCTTCTAGCCCAAAATATACAAATTAACATATCCTTTCATCTTCTTTTCTTTTCTTCTCGATAAGAAAATACTGCACGCACTTAAATAAAAAACACACACACACACAAACAAACAAACAAACAAACAAAACAGATTGAAACAAAAACAGGACATAGTAAAGGCATTCCACATATTAATTATAGTTGTCGTTTATTTCTCATTTCTAGCGGAAGTATCTAATGAACAAAATAAACAACATCGTCCCCAGGGTTTTAATAGTCGAGTAGGAGAGGACCCTGGAAACGAGGTTGCGATTAGTAGAGCAACCTGGGAACGAGGTTGCAAAATGAATTAATTGCTGTACAATAGGCCATTTGCACGATGACGTCATATTACTACTACGACCAGAATCCTTCATGGTTTTGCTTTCTTGTGCAAATTAGAGCTTTTGTTATTTTAACCTCCCTTGGATTACCAAATTTAAAAATGTAAGCCGGAAAGCGAAAAGGATTGTGGTCGTTGTAGTAATATGACGCCATCGTGCAAATGACTTATTTATTAGTTAGCTGTTTCTAAACAAAAGTTTGTTTAATTAAGAAAATGAATTTTGATGTCTGATCTTTGCGTCGGCCGGGAATCGAACCCGGGTCAACTGCTTGGAAGGCAGCTATGCTCACCACTATACCACCGACGCGCTGGATAGCAATTCCGTGTTTCTGAGTCTTTTTATATCAAATTTGCTTTTAAGTTTTTACATTCACCAGGAGCCATCTGAGCGTGAGCAGTCAGTTATAATAACTAAAACCTTTTTCGTATGTCAACCTTAAAATTACGAATTAAGGGAGTGTTTTTCCTATTAGGAAGAAAACCTTTCTCTTTAGAAGGAAATTCGCATCATTTAGGGAAAACATCATTAAAGCGTCATTTGTTTCACTTGGCCACCAGCAAAATGCCGGTACATCAGAAGGGTTATAATGAACAGGAAGTTCATATCAATTCCAAATCTGCTCCTTTATACTTTTCATTAAGTATTTTATTGATTTATTCACATTTACGAGGATGCATATCTCTAACTTGAGAAATAAAATGGGGATACAAATGGAGCAGATAGAAGCACCTGCCATTTTTTCAAGAAAATCATACTATGAACTAAAAACTCAAATAATCACGAAGCGTCGGTGGTATAGTGGTGAGCATAGCTGCCTTCCAAGCAGTTGACCCGGGTTCGATTCCCGGCCGACGCATTCATTTTTCTCAATAATTTAATTAAGCGTTGTAATTGCTGAATAGCATTTTTTGTTTGTCCTATCAGAATGCTTTAAAATGAGTGACGTAAGGACTTTCCTAGTCCCTAGGCCTCATTATTCCGTGCGGTCTCAGGTGCCATGAAGATAAGCCCGCCAAAACACGGCGTTTTTTTGCTGCTATTAATGGACCAACTAATGCTAACGCTTCACCAAACCTTTTGTCATAAATGCTGAAAGGTTGTTTATTTCTGTAGGGCAAAGCCTGAAATGAATCTGCGCGCATTCATTCGTCTGATCTCAACTCATAGTTACATAGTTGATCTTAAATTCATAGTTAAAGTAATAGCCCCAAGACAGAGTGGCAATTTGAGGGGAATGAACAAAAAGGCCATCTAGCCGTATAGAGCTGAAGAGACATATCACAGAATAAAAAAACAGCTGACTAAGAGGTGCATTAGACTTTAATCATGGCCTTTTGATGAGAAATTTTCCACAAATACCCGTCCTGATCATAATCAAGGCGGGTCGAGAATAAATCAGTTCCTAGTTTTACACGGAAAATGAGCTGCGGAAAAGTCGGTAAAATATTGAGAACTGAAACCTTATCTGTGAAGTACAACTTGATGCAACTTTGCCATGATTATCGAAATAAACATGATTGCCCGCGGGTAGGGGAACTCAACCAATATTTGGGTATAGGTGAGCCGCTGAGGATTTGAAAACCTGACCCTGTTTAGGACAACACCGTCAGTTTTATTACCCTGATCATGATTAGGACAAAGGACAAAAAGCACGCTAGAGCAAATTCACGTTGTAGCAATCGCTTTTTGTTGACAGATTCACACGGAATTATATACCCTGTTTAGGACTGATTCTCATCAAATTATATACCCTGTTTAGGATAGAGAGGTCAAAAACCATACTCTGTCCAGTGGCACATCCCCGTATAGGCCAAATAAGGGAGTATCCGCTCCTCCTGGGTGATACCCATTCTTTGACGGTTGACAGCTATTGTAGGAAAGTTAGAGTTGAGTCAATCTTTAATTAACTGGTCTTGGAACGTGGGCCACACATTGCTGTCAGAACGACACCGAGGCGTCGGTGGTATAGTGGTGAGCATAGCTGCCTTCCAAGCAGTTGACCCGGGTTCGATTCCCGGCCGACGCACTTTTTTTTCTATATTATTTTCCATTTTTATGCTTTTATTTCATTAGATAAAATCTTGCAATAAATTTTCATAACAGAAAAAATCAGTAGAATTCTAGTGGTCTCTCACTTTTTGTTAGTTTCTTTTAAAAAAGTTGATTTCAAGTCACAAAGACCCAAGGAGTGTTGAAAGAATTCCCACATCCGAGTAAAGCCGGCTTTTAAAGTCGGTAAATTGGCTGTTTTTCATAACGTTTTGTTTAAGTCTGGGTTGGGTGTTGTGTCAAAATGCACTATGGACTGTTTTGGTGAATTTATCCCTTTTATCCCTTTTTATCCCTTTTAATTATTACGAAGTTGCACGGGAAACTGGGTCAAGATTCAACCCTCGTTCTCATGGTGCAAAATATACCCTGACCGACTCTTACGCAGCTCATGTCTAACAAGACTAAAACTGCCTCATAGCCAAATGTTTTTTGGACTTTTGGGCATTAGCCGGTGGCCCGAGCGGCCGGTGATGGATATTTTTGGTGTGCAGCGGGAAGGATCATTGGAAAGCTTCAAAAATGCTAGGGAACAGGCGAAGGCTCAACGTAAACGGCCACGCATCTCTTCCAGTTTTTCGCTCTTTTCATGACATATTGTGCAGCAACTGCTGAAGAAAATTTCACGAAACGCTCGAGTACCAGGCTAAGTCTAAATTCTCTCGTTTAAGCCTCGTAAATTAATTCATGTTAATTCGATGGAACAATATAGATTTCTTTGCGCCAAACCCGAGGAAGTTAACTGATATAAAATTACACGACGATGAGCGTAGTGTTACTTCAATCAGCGACCTTGTGAAAAACATTTACGTCGGCTCTCTCACGAAACAAACAAAACCGTGATCGGAAACAGCAGCAATTCACGCTCACGCGCTTGCGCCGGAACGCGCCAATTAACAATGTAGCGCGTTTATATTTGGCCACCATTACACAACAACAACAGCAACCATAACATAAAATAAAATCTAAATGCCTTACCAACATGGGTTAGTGTCGCTCTCAAATACAAGAACCTCCCTCGTACTCAACACAAGATAAATCTTTTCTTGTCTTGGATTATGAGCCACATCAACAATATCCGCTGTCATGGTCGTTATAGGAAGTACAGTAGTAAGCTCGTATCCATGAACAGGCGAAACCAGTCTCACCCCACCATCCTCAGCATGCACTAAAATCCTAGCAGGGTACCCTGGGGATTTCACTCGAGACCATCTTCTTATACGCGAGCTGAGAACAGTGAACAGACTGTGAAATAAGTTAAGACTCCAGATTTTTACGTGATGATCTGAGCGGTAGTAGAGAAGATCATTGCTGAGAAGCTCCATGTCAATAATTTCTTCTACGGTCTCTAGCTTGAAAGTCTGTGCGCATGTGTCGAAATTCCAAATTCGGATGGTTTTGTCCAGAGAACTGGAGACCAGTAATGGCTCGCTGGGGTGTACCAAGAGTTTAGTGATTTCAGCGGTGTGGCCTGTAATTAACAAAAGAACGCTGAAAAATACCTGTTATTGTAAAGCGTCGGTGGTATAGTGGTGAGCATAGCTGCCTTCCAAGCAGTTGACCCGGGTTCGATTCCCGGCCGACGCACTTTTTGTTCTTGTTTATTTTTCATTTAAAGTTAGTGAAGATTTTGAAGTTGTTGTTGTATTCTTCGTGTTTTCTTGCTATAACTAGGGTTTTTTTTTACTCTGCGAACAGAGTTTTCTCTCTAGCCCTTGTATGGCTTTTAGCGTTTACGAAGTCGTTCAGCCACGTCGACTTCGTAGACGCTAAAAGCCATCTCTGCTCACATGGTAGGGTTTTTTCAACTAAAGTAGTAGTATACAAATGTACCTAGTGTTTACTCCGATTTGTCGTCTACGAAGTTTCTAATTCAGCTCGATTTGGCCGGTATATAACATTTCTTGACCTAGCAATGTAGTGTAAAGACCGAAATAGGAAGGAATGAATCGCCATTTCAGTGATAAAAACCGTTTCGAAATCAAGTCTAAATTTCATTCCCCTGCCGGACTCGGAGAGCTCGGTGTGTAGGACGTCAGTTGCATCATCCGGTTGACCTTGATCGAGCCAGGGTGATGCGCATGCGCATATGACGTAATGACGTAATTCAAAATAGCGTCGGAAATGGAGATCAACGACGAAAAGAACTGACTATCACTGGATATACCAAGTATCACAGGGTTCCCAAGATTATGAATTGTGTTTTCCTAACGTCGAACGCAGTAACTTATCTAGATATTGACGTAATTCAAAATAGCTTCGAAAAAGCAGACGAACGACTAAACGAACTTAGAACCATGGGATAACCTAGTATACACAGTTTTCCCAAGATTATGAATTGCGTCCTCCTAACGTCGAACGCCGTTGCTTACCAAGAAATTGCGTTACCATTGGGAAACTGTTAAGACTCATGCTCCACGCACGGACAGATCCGTTCTTGTCGCCTGCAAGGAAGAAAACCTGTTCATCAGCGATCTCGTCCGTGACAAAAATTAGGGATGAAACTGAAAACGCGCCTTTACTATTGCGGCCAATTTTCTTTCTCTCAACTTGGCTGATGTCAAACTGAAATGCTTTGCCATATAGTCTTCTCAGGAATATTAAAAACTCATATACATGGCTAATTTGTTTCTACTGTTCTTGTTAGACATATTATAGAGTCTAATCCCCAGTAACACTTTCCTTTTCACGACCGGTACATCCCGTTTTCTATTACAAATGCGCGCATTCATGACTGACGGAAAAATACGTCTGTGTTTAAAATAATTTTGCAATATACCTAAACTTTCTTTTACCAGTAATAAACGCATGAAGCAGGGGCTTACTCAAGAGCCCTTGTGATTTGTAAGCTTAATAAATCAGGTTGTATATACCTGTAATGAAGTAGCTTGCAGGACTGTAAAATACACAGGTAGTGAAGGAGAAATCGCATTTCTTTTCAAATGAACATCTTTCCTTATGCGTTGCAATATCTATCATAGATATTCTAACATCTGATATCGCTAAGATCTGCTTTGAAGTGTTGTCAATGGTTAGTGACATCACCCAGTCAAATGGCGTGAATGAACAACTTATCAGTTGACCTGGTGTTAAGGGATCCGTTTGACCAGTGGGGAACTTCCACGTCATTATTCCCCCAGCAATCCCGGTGATAATCTCGTCTCTTATTTCATTGTACGCAAGGCTAAGTACACTTTTATTCACAGCTGTGGTTGAAACGGGGTGGAACTTTGCGCTGAAAATCCTCAACGACAAATCCGTGCAGTACATGACATAAATCCAGCGTCTTTGCGCAAAGAGAATGTGCAGAAACTTAAGATCAGTGGAGAAAGTTTGGAGAGCATTTTCTGAATTTACAGGTTGTTTTTCCTTAGAAAAGTTCCAGATATTGATCTCGTTCTTCTTACCAACCCCATGGTGTGATAAGAACCTGTGTCCAGAAGCGGTGTTCACATGAAGGACGACTCGCAGCTTCTCCGGATTCCAAATCTCTTTCTGTAGCTGAAGACCGTAAGGAATTCCCACGCAGAATGGAGTTTCTGATGGGTTGGCGATAATGTTCTCGATCTGTGGGAAGACGTCGGCCCAAGGAGGAATCTTTGATTTGAATATAACAGCCATTATGAATCTGAGTTATAAGATAGTAGTTAAAACCGTAAATCGCAGCTTTTAACTGCACCGTGATGAACAAGTCCTTTTTTTGGCTGGTTTGTCATAATGTATATGAAAGTTGTGTCGTGTTTAAGTGACTGGCTGCATTGGAAGCTATTGATTGCGATGACAGTGAGGAAAAAGCCTTGTTTACGTAAAATTCTAATCAAAACGCCCGTCTGCGTCACAAATACCCCTTTCGAGTTCGAGTGCGCGCGGTGGTGGATAAGAATCATTCAATGGAACATGGGCACGTGCGAGTTTTATAGTCCCGCATTTTTGTGGGCTCACTCGCGTGTTTTGTAACACCATTTACAAGCCAAAGTTGACTTACTTACAGGACTACTTCTCAAAAATGTCAAAGCAGTTTCGGGTTTCCCTCACCTGGCACCTAGTTCAGTTGACGCCATGTTGTAGAAACATTGATCTAATTAGTTATTGAACAGTCACAGAGCAAAATGGAATGCACTTGTTTACTGTAAAACGGATATAGATCGGGCAGCCTAATGCTCTTCGGTATGTCTGAGTGTTTTTATCATGTTAATTGGATTTACTTTAAATTTTCCTGTAATCTAGTTTGCGCTTATAAATTCACTTCCTAATAGGAGTTATATAGATACCGAACATTCCCTTGTAGTGCACAATATGATTGCTAGATAAGCTTTCGAAGTCTTAGACACCAACTGCACCTGCGATAGCTTACAACTGAGTAACTATGATGCGACTTGCGATGCTTCACTATAGTACAGTATATAGAAAAACTAGAGAAGGCTCAGTAATTGCGTGAGGACACCAGACTTCCGGTAAGTTACAAGATCCTCTCGACTCCTCCTGTCTGCCTAACCCTTCCTCTTCTTTCCTCACTCTTCGCCTACCCTCGATCCCGTGCGATACTCCAGTTTCCGGGTTACTTGTTTCGTTTGCTTTGTGTCTAAACAATTCCCCTAGCACTAAAAAAAAATTCAGTTCCTGCACACTTGGCATTAACCTCAACGAAACTTTGCACTACTGATTTGCATTACTTATTTTTCTGTCGAAACAATAATCTGAAAAAAGAGAAAATGCGGGAAGAAGAGTGAATCTCGGGAAAATTACGTGACGTTTTAGCCGGAAGTAAGAGTAAGCCTGTTTTCTTAAATCAAATTTTTCGAGGGAAGGGTCGGGAAACTTAGTAGCCTGTTCCAGGCGTTGAGATAGTAGAGCGCAGAAGAAAAATTCTCTAAGAAAAAAAACCGAGATAATGCTCGAAGCGATTTCATTTGATTTATTTCAAATATACAGAAACGTTAGGTAATTTCGCATGTAAAAATCAAATTTCTTGGGGTGGTTTTTACTTCGAAAAGCTTATGTCCTAAATTTTCTGCTAGTCACTCATATCATCGCAATCGAACAAGGCAAACCCCGGGCACGTTATTTTTTTAGCGCCTTGAATCCGGAAACACGAGAACTTCAACTCGAGTCTGTACACTGTCATTTAAGCAAAATCCATGGAAAAGCACCAATTCATTGGTGGTATATTTAGCTCCAGCTCTATGTAAACTCTAATATGATGTAGGGTATTAGGTCAGGTCAGTTAAATCGGAGCGTACAACTTCGCTTGAAAACGAGACAAAACAGGCACGATAATGAGACTCTGATCCTTGAACAAGTCTTGTGATTTAAGGCAGAGCCGCTTCTTGGCGGAAAGCGATACATGTGGTTGTTTTCCGGAGCAAGGGTTGTGCCATTACAAATCACGATCGGCTTTCAGTGTTAGTTTTTATTTCCTCTTTACAAACGCCATCACCTTAAACAGAGGTCAAGCAACAGTTTTTTTAAAAAAACAACACGAGTCTGGTGCTAGCGCTTTAAAGAAATACATCCGTTATGCTCAGTTGTCTAACGAAGAAATGGAACTTTCTGGACTTGAAAATACGTGGAAAGATATCAGGCCATTAGAGAATACATCTTACGGTAAGGATTAAATTCCTTTGATTTTTGTATTTTTAATCGGTTTATCGTTGTTTCAGTACAGTGGAATTTTCAATCAAACGTCATGGCGAACCTTCTACTTCTGGATTAGGCCCGCGCCAATGTTAACGTTCGGTCCTTATGTGTGTGTATATATACACACTTTCTCTTATCGAGAGAAAAAGCACTTTATCATACATATTGATTGCGGTAACAATATTGGCATGACGGTATTGTGAAGATGACTAAACTGTAAGTGTGCTAACAAATATTAGGGTCTTTGTGTCTTGCAACTAATGAACGTTTCCTGAAACGCCGAGTCATTCGCCGAAAAGGTTTGCACCTTAACATTTCCTCTTACCTTAGCCATCAACTGACAATTTTTTTTCTAGACAAACTAAGCGAAGGCAATACTTAGGTTATGAGTAGGGTAATAAATAAGTCCATAAATAAGTCAATTAGAAACATGTAGCCCCACCCACTACCCCTTATCACTTACAGCCATGTTACTCAGGGGAGTGGTCTGGAATCGGATGACATCCTTCACAAATTCCCGGAAATTCCTGTTGGGATGTAAATGGCAAACGTTTTTATAGTTTGTCCCACTGGAAAATTCCTGGGACAAACGGAAATTCTGAAAAGGTAGTCGCGTTTTCCCGGTTGTGAAGTTCCGAACGGAAATTCGTTTACCATTTACATGTTTCTTGCATGAGTTTCGTGCTAGTTTCCTGTTGTAACTAGAACCCCGTCTAGCGCGGCGCGACAATCCGGAAATTTTAGGCAAATGGTAAACGACACGTACTTTTCTTACCGAACGAAAACTCCTACCAAAATTTCGGGAATTTTTTTTTTATAAATGGTAAACAACCTTCGTGTCGTCTCTTACCAAAACGTGACCCCAAGGCCGTTCGAAGCTACAACTAGTTCTATAATTAAATAGCAAGCTATTAGCACTGTTTCTTAAATACCCGATATACCAGTGGTATAGTACCGAAATTTCGAAATTTGGGACAAGCTAGTAAGCCCAGAATTGTATGATCTTCACGATACGCTGCTTCGTCGGTATTGTGCGTGGAAGGACTTTGGAAGCTATCTGACAATAGTCACATCATAGGGGCATTTGCCCTCTGGTCAAGTTATTTGTTTAATTATACTAGACGTTTTTTTGTTTTTTGCCGGGTATAAAGCATAATTTTGCAGTTTTGTTACAGAAATAAACTGAAAAATATTGTCTTAGGATTTTCTTTTCAATTCAAATGGATATATTTTTGAAACAAAAGAAAAGTATATACTTATAAATTGTTTTCTGAATTCAAGACGACAAAAGGTACAACCGGCCAGGTAATATATATATTTCAGTCAGTTTACAATGGTTAATTTTGTCCTGAAAGCTAAGAGGAGTTTCGAATCAGTAAATTGCAAGCTGTAGCCCAATGTCAGTTAGAGCAGTCAGATTAGAATTACGATCAGGCTGTTTGTTTTTGAGCTCTTGAGCTGTCAAAGTTAGCCACATATGTAACTTACTATTGAGGATTTGTTTGATACTATGGCCCAGTAGCCTGCGAAAACATCCGTTTCTCCTCGCTCTTCGTCGCTGGGGACGTTTCGCGCGGAGGAACGTCTGCGACTCAGTGACAGAAATTCCATACTGATGACTCAAATCAATGTTTACAAAATAAATCCGGTAGTCATGGGGTTCCAAATATAAATTTGTCTAATTTTGCGTGTCTTCTGGTCCATTTTGGTAAAGTGTTGTGTTGATCTGCCCACGAGCTCCAGCAAAACTCAAATGCTTCTTCTAGAGAAGCCTATATTCCACAAATATTGACTGTTTTGTTAGAGATTCTTCGTGTTTACATTTGACCTTTTTGGCCTTTTGTCTTTTGTCTGTCATTTGTAAACAATAGCTAAAACAATGTAACTGCTCCGTCGACCAATCAGCGCTTCTGACCGGATTCTGGACAGATTTTACGTCAACAGTATGGAATTTCTGTCGCTGAGTCGTAGACGTTCCTCCAAGCGAAACGTCCTCAGCGACGAAGAGTGAGGAGAAACGGATGTTTTCGCAGGCTAATGGCCCAGACACCAACAACTTCGGAGAAGAAGCATTGATATAATTAAACTGATACAAGTACCAGCAAAACAGTACCGGAAACAGTCGTCGATGCTTACCTTGTGAGAGAGGGACAGACACGTGACCAGAACCAGCAAGGGTCTCTCCCAGTCTCTTGCGCTCCTAAGAGAAGAGTAGGAGAGAACCCTGGGAAAGACGTTGTGTCGATGTCAGCCACCTGAAGATATTTAAAAAATCCAGGAGGGCTCCTGACATATCTAATTAAAATTAGTTATGGTCTTTGAGTGACGTGACGAAGTTTGCCAACCCTTGACTTTATGTATGCGGTCAAATATCTCTGAATTTTCAATCGATTTTCTCCCGATTTTGTCCAAGATTCCCTGGAAAGATTGTAGGTGTATAAAAAGAAGTATTATGCATGTGTTAAGTACCTAATATATGATATACAGAATAGCTAAGATCAGCTTACTCTGCATTAATCATCTTAATTGGCACTGATAAAAATTCAGTACCACCAATGTGGGAGATGAGAAATCCATACATTTTTTCCGAAATTTTTTCTGTGTCTATTCTTTCTCGTTACCATTCTTGTCCCAACTTTTTTTCTTTCCTCCCGTCCCTTCAAAAAGAACCGATGCATCGATCCCTGACTAGTCTCACATTGAACAATTCACATTTGGGTTAGGGTAGCCTTGCAGACAACTGCGAGAAAACTAATTATAGTACAATCATCGTGTTTCCAGATGATTCTGTAAAGCCCTCTTTGAGTTGATTATTTTTTAAAAAGGCTATCTCCAGTCACTTAAATAATGAACTTGGTTGCCCCAACTGACTTAACAATTTCTGTTCTGTGTAGCGACCCCTGTGAGACTCTCATTGCATGCTTTACACAAAGCGAACCCGCTGGCAAGCTAACCAATGAATGACATTTCAGTGGGTAGCAATC